CGGCCACTGAAATGCTGACGCGTGGATGCCTTTTGGTCCCGATTGGTGCCTCCAACCGGGACTAAAGGCCCTCCTGCCTGGGCTCGGCGCACCGGCCACGTGGAGGCACATCTGTCCCGGTTCGTGTTAGAACCGGGACTAAAGGGGGAGGCATTAGTCGCGACCCTTTAGTTTCGGTTCAAGAACCGGAACTAAAAGCCCTTACGAACCGGGACTGATGCCCCCTTTCTTACTAGTGACTGTGACTTAGCATCCATGTGCTGCATGTATAAGCGTTGCACGTTTTCTGATGTACTCACCTGGTATAATCCAAAATAGTATAGTTGCATCTGCGGTTGGTTGATTGTGTTCGGCCAGGTGCTCTGTATTCCAAAGCCTGAACCTTTTCTTTTCTGAAGCTCCCTATTCTGAAGACACTGAACCGATCTAGCTGGTGTCGACTTACTCAGATGGTGATTATCGAGTCTGATGATGTGATCCGATTGATAGGATTGGATCCAACGGTGGGTCCTATCCCATTGTTTGACAAATCACAATCGGACGGTAGGCCGCTGCCAAAACATCTTCAGATTAGGGTTTGTCCACATTATATATACAAGTAATTTACGCAAACACTTGGAAACATCGTCAATCGTATCGGCCGGCAAACTAGGACGCCATGGGAGACGAGGAGGCGGAGAGGCCAAGCAAGAAGGCACGCGGGTCGTCGCCGCCACCCGCCATGGACTCCGGCGGCCTGACGGCGTTCGCACTCCGCCTGGCCAAGAAGCTCGCCGAGGGCGACGACACCAAGGACAGCAACATCGCCTTCTCGCCGCTGTCCCTCTACACCACGCTCGGCTTGGTAGCCGGCGGAGCACGCGGCAAAACCCTAGACGAGCTCCTTGCCTTGCTCGGCGCCACCTCGGCCGACGAGGTGGCCAGGTTCGTGCGCGGCCTCGTCGCCGACCCGTCCGGCTCCGGCGGGCCGCTCATCACCTATGCCTACGGCTTGTTCCACCAGAAACACATGGAGCTGACGCCGGCCTACCTCCACACCGCCGCCGAGTCTTACAACGCTGAGATACGCGCCGTCGACTTCGCCGAGGTCAGCAGAGCTACCACTTAATATTTTTCTTCTTCCCTGCCGTTCGATCACGAGTTGACATTGGTATGTCACATAGACTTGTCAAACTGTTATACAAGGTTTGCGTGGGTTCTTGCAGGGTGATACGGAGAAGATCAGGCAGGAGATCAACGATTGGGCGGCGGCCACAACGAACAATCTCATCTCGGAGATCCTGCCAGAGGGTTCATTGACCGAGCTCTCGAGGTTCGTGCTCACCAACGCCATCTACTTCAAGGGCGTGTGGGAGACCCAGTTCCCCAAGGACCTCACGGAGGACCACGAGTTCCATCGCCTTGACGGAGCCGACCCCGTCGAAGTTCCATTCATGACCCTCGGATCCGGAAAACGCAAGCTCTTCCTCTCCCAAGAAGATGACTTCCAGGTGCTCAAGCTCCCATACGAAGGCGATGAGAGCGGCGGCATGCAGTACTCAATGTGTGTGTTTCTACCATACGAGCGCGACGGGCTGCGTGCAATGGTAGACGCTCTGCCAGCAGCAGACGAGTCCCTGCTCGACTACATCCCAAATGACCGGAGTGAAGTCCGGAAGCTTCTTCTGCCCAAGTTCAAGCTGTCATTCTTTTGCAGCCTCACCAAAGTCCTCAAAGGCTTGGGCCTCCGGGAGGCGTTCACCGAGGAGGCCGACCTGTCCGGTCTGGTGGAGAAGCGCGTCTGCGATGTGCGCCTGGACGACGTGTTTCACAAGGCTGTGGTCGAGGTGAATGAGGAGGGCACCGAGGCGGCGGGCTGCACCGCCGCGAGTGGGCGCGTGAAGCAGTGTGCGAGGAAGCCCATGGACTTCGTCGCCGATCACCCGTTCGCGTTTTATATTGTGGAGGAGGTGTCCGGGGCCGTGGTCTTCGCCGGCCATGTCCTTGACCCTTCTAGCTCACAGTAGTAATAATGCCATGGAGGCTCCTCCTAGTTAATTATTCTGTCTCGGCCAGACATTAAGTGATCACTACCAATAAACTAAAGACCTGGATTATATATTTTCTGCTGCTATTTCACGTTCTGTTTTCTCTATTGGTTCGAAGACGAGTCACTTCAGTTATCCTTTTAAGTTCTATTCTATCTTGTGTCTTTCTCTATTTCATCTCATAAAGTTCCACGCTCGCAGTTTGGTCAAGAAAGTTAGACATAATCCAACAAACAATACAAGGATTAATTACGAATTATGAAAGGATAGATTTCACATATACTTTGTCCTTGTATTGTGTCAGTATGAGAAAATCCTTCCTAAATTATTTATCCAAACCTATTGATCATTAATTTAGTTTTTCTGCCACTGTTATTATGCATCAATGGAACCTGCATCTTTCCGCACTCTCGCTGAATGTGTTAGTCCTGGGCCAAGATGGGAGAAACTAAAGCCAGATTTCATTAAGGTAAATTTTGATGCGGCCTTCAAGACAGATTCCGCTGATGGGGCTTTTGGCTATATTCTGCGACCGGACACCGATGAGTTTTGTGCAGCGGGGCAGGTAAGATGGCACATGTTAAGAGTGTATTGCAGGCTGAGGACATGGCTTGTCTTGGGGCGATTGAGGGTGTGGCTAGCTGTGGTGTCCACTAAATCATTCTGGAGTCAGATTCCATATCTCTGGTGCAAGCCCCCCAACTCAGAAGATTCTGACAAACAAGAGCTGAGAGTTCTGTTCTGGGAAGCCCGAAGCAATTGCATCATCCATTTTGATTCGTTTGAATTTGTGTTTTGCCGCCGTGCATGTAATTCAGTAGCCGACGCTTTAGTGCAGCATGGTTATCGTGCTTCTATGCCCATCACTTTTTCGATGGAGCATATCCCAGGTTTTGTTTCATGTTTGGTTGCTAGCAACTTTGCTGCACATGTTGGTTAATGGATATATATCTTATTAAAGAAAAACTATAGGACTTGATAAACAAGTATAAGAGGCGTGCAACTCTTGACCAGATTGACAATAGCTCACGCTTTGACTTGAAATATTGTTTATCACATGGATCGATGAGTTAGGCAGGTACATACATAAGTACTAACCACCTTAGCAAGCTAGTACGTATTCCTCTTTCTATCAAGCTAGTCAACTGGCACCACAAATATACATACCCACTCCTCTTTCTCCCCCACCATCACTTGAACCGAATAATCAACCCTTTTCTTTGGGCGACTACTAGGCGCCGGCGCGCCAGCCGAAATTTTCGGCCGGTCAACGCCCCAGCGTTGGATACAGCCATATGTAACCGTCAGATCCAGATAAAAAAAAAAGGAAAAAAAACCCTCGCTCATGTACAACTCCATGACCTCTGACCGCCCTCGCTAACAGCTCACCAGAGCCGCTCGTCCTCATGCTCGCCGGATCCGCTCGATGGAGTGCACGTCGGAGTTGCTCGTCGGAGCGCACGCCGGAGCTGCTTGCCGGTTGTAGCACCGGTGCTCACTGGGCCACCCCCAATGCAGCAATTTGTAGGGTCCAGCAAAAAATTGGCCTCCAGTATGCAGCTTTTCCGCTGGAATTAATCGTTGTAGCGTTTGCACACGATGTGGTAGCAACAGAAATTTGCTGGTTATAACAAAATAAATTCTCTGGTTCCAGTAAAAAATCAGAAGGGGATGGTAGCAAAAATCAAATACAGTGGTAGCAAAACAAAAAGATGGCAGTAGCAAATTTGGAGTGGTTCCATGAAAAAAGATGGATCTGGCAAAAAATCAAATACGGTGGTAGCAAAAAATGAAGACGGTGGTAGCACAAATCAAAGGCAGTGGTAACAAAATAAATTGAAGTGGTTCCAGATACATCCAGCAAAAAAATAGAAAAAATAGGGTGGTAGCAAAAATCAAAGACGGTGATAGCATAAATCGAAGATGGTGGTAACAAAATTTGGACTAGTTGTAGCAAAAATAATCACTCCCAAAAAATGGCGGCCACACCGGTGCTAGCAGTCTTGCAGGTTGCAGCTATCCGCAAAGCTGGTTGCAGCTCCCCGAAATGCCGGTTCCAGCAAACGGCATGTGCCGTCGCTGCTCTGGAACGGCTGGTTCCAGCTCCCCCGCGGTGCTGGTTGTAGCTCTCTGTGTAGCTGGTTCCAGCAAAAAAGCGGCGTGTATGTAACATCGCCATTCACTGGGTGGGGAAGGGGGAGGGGGTCGAAGCTCATGGCCGCGAGGATTGAAGAAGGTTGTGCGTGGTGGTGGTGGATGGCTTGACGGTGCCAAGGAGTCAGCACGCGCGCGAGCTTTTTCTATGGCCAAGATGAAAAGAATGAAGCAGCAAAGAGACAGAGGAGGAAGAAAGGTCCCGGTTCCCCTCCTTGTGAAGAGATAAGGATGAATTGTATGTGGTGGAAAGTGAGCCACGTGATGACTAGAGTTGGTTGGCTCACGGGCTGTGTCACGGCCAAATCGAAGGTCGTACGATCTGGCTTTAATCAACGACGCGCGTGCAGCCGGCGGAACGATTCGACCGGCGCGCCGACAGGAAACGTTTCCCTTTTCTTTGACAATAATGGGTTTCGGACGGACGGACAAATTAAGGTATAAAATCCCTTACTAGGTTTGCTAATATGTTATGAAGCCATCAGAGTGAGAAGTCATCAAACTTAACGGTAGATAAATGTGATCCACAATGGAAATGGATAAATAATATAGTTAGGGAATAATGGTGGATTTGGGGATAGAGGGACTTGAACCCTCACGACTTATAAAGTCGACGGATTTTCGTTTTACTAGAAATTTCGTAGTTGACTGTATTGACTTGTACAATGGGACTCTCTCTTTGTCCTCGTCGGATGAATAATCTACATTTTTTAGGATCTCAAAAACGTTGAATTTGAATTGAAGAATTTGATTATTCCATATTCGATTGGAGTGGATTCACAATTGTGGGGAAGAGGAGCTAGAGAAAGGAAGGAGAGGAGTCATGAACTCGTATTCTCGAAAAAATCAGGACACAAATTATTCCGGCGACAAACGCCTCACCGCATAAACGGCCCCTTGCCGCACGAAAGGCGATTCTTATCCTTCGAGCTCAAACTCGTCTCGGCAACACACCAGCTGCATATCTAGCTCCTGGCCACCCTCACGGCCGGTCGCCATCTTTTGGCACTCTATAGCTCGCACACACAAACTCCTCTGGCTACGCACGCCAGGTGCCATGAAGCCTACACACGAAAGCCTACATCTTGCCTCTCATCTAGAGTCCTCTAACACAACGCATCCCGACCCCGTCCTAGCACCGCCTCCCCGTGAG